GAAAGTGAGACGGGCCGCGCGCATTATCGACGCCATGGCCAACGCGCCGGCTCTGTACGCAACCTCTAGTCGAACGAGCGTTCGGACGAGGTTGTGTCCAGGCTTTCAGTGTGGATAGAAGCAAGCGTGTGCTGTGCGCTATACGACACACTCAACTGCACCGGAATGAGAGGAGGACGGAAGGAAGAGGACGGAAGCAGCTCGGAGCCCGTCATCCACCAGCCCACCGTGATCCGACCGCCAGTCCGTCTCACACAGTCCACGCCACGTGCGCCTTCCTGTGACGCGGCCCATCCGTACCCGGATTCACCCCATGCGAGTCCACGGTGACCCAGTCGGCCGAATGCGCCGCGTGCCCTTGTCGAGCAGAGGCCGGCCGCTGCCTGGTCTGAGCGCGGAGGCAGAGCGTGGGTCTGGGCGCGCCAGCAGCGGTCACCGCACACACTACTGCCACCTCTCCAGGCATCGGCCACCACACACACACTCCTGCCACCTCCAGGCATCGGCCACCACACACACTACTGCCACTCCAGGCAGCGGCCACCACACGCACCACTGCCACCTCCAGGCATCGCGCCCATTACCCGTCAGCATCCAGCGATGATACTTAGCTCTCCAATACGACCAGACCACTATAAAGGTGTTTCACAGAAGTACCGTGTGCCGGCTTGGGCCCACATCAATGTTAGCACGTCACCGCACACCATCGATCGCATTTCACGGGGCAAGCGGCTTAGGGAATTCCACGCCAGCAGGGTTTGGACGGCAGCTGTTAGTCCGTGTTCGACCGGTCCCCACAAACTGATTCCCAACATGATAATTTCGTTACGTTATCCGCTATGCATGCCAATCCGCGCTTTGCGGTCTGATGGTGCTCCGTCTGCACGCGACGCCTGTGGGAGCCTGGGCCCCCCGAGTCCCCGTGAACAAGTCAGTGCGTCACACCCTGCCCGGCCAGGGAGCGGCTGTGACGGGGGGTGGGAGCGGGGCCGGGATCGGAGACCGTCCTCTCCGGGCACGCGCCATCCGCCTGCGCGGAAGAAGCGCGGCAGGCGAGCGGCGGGGGCGACAGCCGGCCGGCCGGCCCGCCCCACGCCGGGCAGGAAGCGCCGTCCGAAGGCCGCTGCCCAGGGATACGCCGCGCCGGCCGCCGCCGATCGCAGCGCGCCACCTGGCAAGGTCAGCGGGGCGCCCGAGGCACGCGCGCGCGCCGCCGGCCGCCGCCGGGACCTTGGCGCCCCGAGGCCGGCCGACGAGCGGTGGCCTTCCTCCACCGGCGCCGCGACGCACGTGCGTGCGCAGGCCGGCACGGCGCCGCCCGCCACCGTATGGCGCACGGCGAGGGGAGGGCAGCTGAGCGCCAGCGGAGTCCCGCGGGGAATGTCTCAGCCTAGCTTCAACGTGCAGGTCGTAGTGTCTGGCGGATACATGAATGAGTAATTACCTGACATACGACGTGTAACGAACCAATCCAAAATAAAGAGTGAAGCATAGTATGCAGCTTTTGTTCATTTTGGAGGAAAATGGCCAACAAAGAGCGTCAATAACGATATCCATCCCAAACGTGCGACCAATTTTTCAAAAACGCTGTTGATTTGCCGACGTCTGCTTTTTAGTCCTGAAGAAGCTGAGAATAGAAATATCTTGTTCGGTTACCTATTTTAGACTTTTTAGCTTTGTTATTTACTAAGGACTAATTATTATACTTCACATTCATTTTTATGATGCCAATTCAATTTTAAGCTGTGGCAAATTGGTCGCCGCGACTTAAGCTGACATTCGTATTTACCTCCCAAAAGCAAAGGAGAAGCGAGGGCAGCGACAGATCCATGGCGCCATGGCCGGTACATGGTATTCTCACATGGGGAACTGAGCTCACACTAGTTCACATGGTTCAGGGCTGCCAAAAATAAATGTGTAAATATATATATATACACATATATATATCACGAAATGAAAAACGTATCCTGTTAGTTAGCGAGCTAAAAATGGCAAAATCATTCTCGCCAAACTATGCGTGAGCAACCAACTCCCAGAAGCCAGTATAACTTCCGAGGCTCCGCTAATTTGAAGTCGACGACAGATACGGCCATGCAGCCTAGTTGGCGCGCTGCCAGCCACGCATCGGAGCGTGAAGCTCCGCTCTGTAGGCACGTCCGTTGGTGAAGAAGCCCAGCCGGCGGGAGTAGGGACCGTGACGGCCGACAGGTGGCAGCACTGACACCGTTACGCGGACGGACGAGCGGGGGAGCGGTTCTCGGAACGGACCTGGCTGCCCAACACTGTTGCCGCCCGCCCATGCTGCCGTCGGCTACACACGTGTCATATGGCGTGCTGCTGACATTTGGCACCCGGCGGCGGAAAAGCCGCAGCGTCGTGCTAGGGTGGAAGCCACGGACGTGCTTGACGGCCCACGAGGCAACATTATCGCAGACACGCTGACGGTGTAATGAGCACGGACAGATCGGTGGCAGCACAGCGCTATTCGACGCCTGAGCGGTCTTGGTCCGCAACAGCTGGCTACAGTTGATGACCAGGGCGCTCGGGGCGGCGGCCATGATCCCAGGCGCGGCGGCCCAAGTGGCCTCTCAGGGCCGACTGCCATCGACCGGCGGCCCTAGCCCTCGCCAGCTGCCGCCACCTTTACCAGTCGACAGGCACCCGTCGTGCCCCGCCCGTCCAAACACCGACCGTCCCGCCGTCTCCAGTCCGCCAAACAGATATATTTTTAGGGCAGGCAATTTTACGCTGTCCGGTTTGAAACGCCGCAATCAAAGCATTTTTTCAGCTGCAAGTGATGCATTTTGTTTCTGGACAGGCCTAGGAGTGTATTCGTAGCGCACCAAGAACATTGTCAATATATGACGTCGCGTAGAATCTTTTCCTGGCGTAGCCACTGCGCGACACGTTTTCTGTTTACGTCTCCGCAACCGTCATACTGGAGACTGGAGACAATAACAACACATGCAACACACAACATTTTCGTTGCATGTGCTATGTGTGCTCCAAACAATGGAAACTGCGACTTACGCTATCTGAAACAAATGAAGCATTTGACATCACCCTTGGTCGGTCGTGGGCGCGCAAAGCGACTTGTGTATGATGTCATGCATGACGTCGACGACATACATTCTTTGTCGTCAGGGTCGCTGCGAATGCACCTAGCTGGCGACCTGGATTGCAAGGCAGGCGCGTCCCGTAAATAGGAAGCGAACCGACAGCGGAGGGGAGGCGGTTAGGGGCGGGGGCGACCGAAGGGCCGCGGGCGTAATATCGGCCGTAGCGAGGAGGGGGCGAGGACTGGCGCGCTTCAGGTCTCCCCCCTCACGGCCCCTCCCCACACGTCCGGTGGCGCTGAGCGCGTTATTTTGGCAGCGCCAGTCCACCATTATCGCCACTGGACTCCAGAGTGAGCCAGCTGAATTAAGATAAAGGCAATAAGCGGCAACGATCGCCCGTCACATCTGGAAGCGAAAGGTCGCGCCTCCCTCTCATGCCTGGGCGGAGGACGCCGGAGTGAACAGACCTAGCTGACGCGACCGGCCCAATGCTGCCACATCCTGCTGCCTGCCTTTTTGCCATCCACAGAGTCGTATGTGCACAATGAATGGCGTGCTTAGGCAGGTTCGACGCGTGCGTGCCACGCACCAAATGCATCGAGGTCGTCCGCAATGCACGATGAGCCGTTTGTCAAGTGTCCACGTAATCTCGCATACAAACGCGATGGTGCCTTCAGAAACCAGGGCGAGCCTACGTGACCATGAAGCAGGCATTCGCCAGCGTCGCGACAGCTTCGCCCCGCTCGGTCAACCGGTCTCCGGACGCCCACGTGACGTCACAGGGGGACAACCTCGCCCCGCCGACGACGGCCGCCGGCGACAACGACGCGGCACCCCAGTCCAAATGATAATGTAAACAGCCAGAAGTAGGCCGCTGCCCCGTGTGTTTTTAGTCCGCCACGCTCGCAGGAGGCACGCGCCTCGACAGCTCGGGCACCCACCGCTGGCGGCCGAGCGCAAATAGCGCGCCCCCAGGCGGTATCCACCGTGTGGTGTGCGCCACCCCGCTCCATATCGTCGTCCCATGCTGTGTCATCCGTCGTGCACACGTGTGTATGTGTGTGTGTTTTGTATTTGTGGTATGTGCCTAACCTACCGGCCCCATTTACCCGCGTACAAGCTTAGCTGCTATCGGCGACTGCAAACGGCATGCGGCGCAAGCTGCAGCAGCTGACAGACGTGCCGAGCGAAGGGTTCTGCATAAGTCGCAGGGAGTGAGCGGTCAAAAATGAATACGCCGTCAGGCCGAAGGACGTGTTCCGGAATCGCAGCTGGAGAGCTAACGAGCTGGGGAGCCGTCCACACCGCTCGGGTCAGTGCGGACGGCCTGACACGGCGGCCGGCGCGGCTGACGGCCCGCTGTGCCATGTGCCGTGCCTCTGCGCCCGGCGGGGCACGTGCGCCGGCAGCACTTGTAATCTGTCGGCGGCCGGGCCCGAATCGGCGGCCTTGGCTCGTGGAAAGTGGCCGGTCGCCGCCCGGGAACGAGTGCCGTTGCGACACCCATAGCCCCGAGATGACGCCTATTATGGCGGAGGGCGGCCTTCGGCGCGTTATCGGCTAATTCGACGCTGTGGTCGGCGTCAAGCCGGCTGCATGGCCGCCGCCACGATCGCCGGCCAACACCGCTTGCGACGGGGCTGACCAGTGACGCGGTGGCGCCCTGCTGGCTCTGAGAGCCGGGGCCGACACAGACCACTGCGGCATCGACCCACACCACCAGCGTCAGCTGAGCTGCAGTTCGGGAACGGTGCATCAGATCACCGATCGTGATCAACATTCTGGCCTTCGCCGCCTCCGCGTCCTCCTAACGACCAGCCGTTCCCGACGGCCGCTCGCGGCTTGCGGACGCCCCAGGGAGTCGCGAGTCACGTCGCCCCTCGACACGACGGTGCCGGCGAGGATGGTGGCGCACGTGTCGTCCGGCCCGGCCTCACTCACCGTCACGAGACATGCCCAGGGCCAGGCACTTCTGCAGCCGGCAGTACTGGCAGCGGTTGCGGTTGATCCTGTCGACGACGCAGTTCTTCTGTCGCGGACACTGGTAGTTCACTATGCCTGACTGCGAGCGGCGGAAGAAGCCCTTGCAGCCTTCGCACGTGATCACGCCATAGTGCACGCCGGATGACTTGTCCCCGCACACTTTGCACGGTATAATCTCAATTTGCGCTGGAAAAGAGAGCACAGAACGGAGCGTCAGCACAGGCCGCTGGGCGATGGCGTGAGCGTTGAAATCGAATGTTGAAGGCTAATGAGAGAAACCGGCTGTTGACTGTTTACCAGGCTTGAATGAACACCGCACAACGCAAATGTTATCTCACTTTACGAGCGCCAAGGCGTTGCCACATGCCTCTGTAATGATCTCTTAAGATGTTTATCTTGGCAGCAGAACGCAATACTCTAAACGTTACTCATGAATGCGGGTCAAGTACAGCAATGCATCAAGATAACGAACTCCGCTGACACGAGTAGGGTTCAGCACGAAATTAACCGACACCCGTAGTTACTCGGCGGCCACTACCACAGGCTGTTAGTATTCTGCAATTACACATGTAGCGGGGTTTAGTGCCAGGCTGCATGGACCATTGGAACTGCAGGGTGGCCGGTCAACCACATCTTGAAAAGTGCATCGAGCCATGTAAGACATCTGGAAAGATAATCTACGTGCTTTGAGGACCGGGAGGGATGGGGCGGCAAGTGGAGACAGACAAGACCGCGGTCCGCAGGCTTTGGTTGGTCGGGGTGAGTAATAGCGTCCAGACCTCACTATTGCTTCAGGATAGCGACTTTACGAGCCGCCACAGCCCCTAGCCAACTTCATCTCCCCGGTGTCTGTCAGCTGCGCCTACAGCAGCGGCAACGCTCGCCAACGGTCCGACAGGGCTACGATCCGGCGCCGCTCCTCACGCGCCGCCCTGCGCGCCAGCTCCCGCCCGGCAACAGAGCGCCGCCGGGCGACCTCCGCCGCCGCCGCCGGCGCCTCCTCGATTAGTGCAGAGCGGTCACAAAAACGGCCTGGAGAGGCCGGATAAAAAACGGTCCGAGCACGCCCCGGCCGCGGCGGCGCGGTAACTGGAGGCCGTCCAGCGCCGGGCGGCGGCAGAAATAGATGGACGGCGGCCACCGGGAAGTGGAGCGTCCTGTCTGCATCGCCGCTCAGACGCCTCGGCACTTGGCAGGACGGGGTGGGAAGACACCACGGCAGGCACCGCACACAACAGCGGGCGGATGGTGTCCAGACAGGCAGCAGCGGCGGTCGACTAGCTGCTGGGTGGTGAGTGCGGAGGGCGAGCGGTGTGTGACCTTTGGTCACGATCAATAAGCCAGCGCCGATGAATGGCGATAACGGCCTGGCAGCGTGTTTGCACGAGATGTCATTCATTTCAAAGTGATTTCCATTTCCCTGGATCCCATTCGTGAACATCCGCTAATCATCAAATGATAAATGTCCAGTGTTGATTGCCAGTCAGCAGTTAAAAGGTGTCCACAGACCTTGAGTAGAAGCAGATCCATCCCGACAACGGCCTGATGGGTCAACTCACCACTAGAGAACATTCAGAGGCAGTCTCATCCCGACAACTGCATGACGGAGCACCTCCCCCACTAGACCATTCAGTTCCGGCTCAGCGCCTTGCGCGGCTCCGTATGTTCAAACTAGACGGCCGCTCCAACGCTCAGTTCGTAGCCGTCACGGCAGGCGTGGGCGGCCGGGCCTGCAGACTGAGCCGCGCCAAACAGCCTGTCTTCAGGCCGGGCTGCGCAAGGCAGCCTGTCCTCAGGCTGGGCCACGCCAGACAGGCTGTCCACAGGTCGGACCGCGCCGGGTCACGCTGCCATGGCTGACCTCACCCACGCCGGGCTGGGCCTCCATCGAGCCGGGCCGGGCCTCCATCGAGGCGCGCCGGAGCCGGGGCCCGGGCGCGCCGCCGTCGGCGCCCGATGGGATTACCCCGGTCGTACGTGATGTCATCATCGCCGGTGGGTCGTAACGGCCGGCCGTGACGGTCGTAGCGCGCGGCGGCGGCGCCGGCCGAAGCCGCCAGAACGGCCTGCAGGTATGGGGTCCACGCGGCGCCTCGGACATTCCTGGTGGTCGGCACGGACGGCCGCGCGGCGCCCCGGCCACCTTACCAGACGTCAGACCAGACCCCGGACCAGACCCCGGCGGCGGTCTGGCGAGCTGGACTGGCGGAGACGGCTCGGCCGACGGGAACCAGACTCAGAGAGACCATGCGGGCCGGAGGAGACCGATGGAGAGGGCCGGCTGGAAGAAACCCGACCTGTCTGCCGGAGGAGACCAGCTGGAGGAGACCCGACCTGTCCGACGAAGGAGACCGATGGAGGAGACCCGACCTGTCCGCCGAAGGAGACCCATGAAGGAGACCCGACCTGTCCCGTCGAAGAGACCGATGGATGAGACCCGACCTGTCCGCCGAAGGAGACCGATGAAGGAGACCCCGCCTGTCAGCCGGAGGAGGCCGATGGAGGAGACCCCACCCGTACGCCGGAGGAGACTCACTGATGGCGGATGACACTGCTGACCGGGCGTCATCCGACCCACCAGAGAATGCCCGCTGATGAAGACACTGCGTTGACGAAAGGGATTCGGCGAGCTCTGGTGACGCAGCCATTATAGCCTCATTACGCAACCAGCCAACGGGTCGTAACGGGAAACCGCCGACCGAGCGCAGCGGTAGCGCCGGCGCGCTCAGCCCCAGGCTGGTCGTCATGACGACTCCGTTCGTACGTGGAAGTCTCCCGAAGGGTAGCCCAAGCAGCCACCCACCGGCCTGCCATGACGCACACTTCACCGTGACGGCACGACGGCCCTTCCGAGAAGCCGGTTCACACCGACCGGGACGCGCCGGCCCCTCGTCGCTGGCGGAAAATGCCCTCTCCTGCCGCGGGTGGTTAGGCCCCGCTGCAGGCGCGTCGCCTAACGGTTCGGCCCGACTGCCGCGGGCCGCGGGCCGCCCGCCGGCGCGCCAGCCGGTCCGCGGGCGAGGCGTCATCCGTGTTCGGCCGGACATGACTGAGCCTGCGCGGCCAGGTTGCACAACACCGGGCCGGGGTCAGGTCCGCTTCCGGCGCAATTGATTATGCGCCGGGTCGCGGGAGCGGCGGCGGCCTCCGCGTGGGCCGGCCGGCGCGGCGCTGTGGATCCGGGACGGTCAGCCATCATAGGCGGGACATCTCCCGTGTTCGGCAACGTTCCAGCGCGCCTTGGAACATCCCGGGTCTGGCGCTCGCGTGTCGGCATCCCGAGCGACGCGCTCGCGAAGAAGCTTCAGAAAAGACAAAACAACGCTCCTAATACGACTTTCCACAAACGGTCGCCGGCTCCCTCGCACAAATCCGGCGTTCATGCGACGGCCGCGCGAAGCAGACGTGTCGCACGTGCGCGCCCCGCGCCGGCGGCCGCCGTGCGGGGGCACCCCGCCGGCCGCGGACCGGCGGGTTACGTGTGGGGCTGCCCGGCGCGCGGCCGCCCGGACGCCGTGAGCCGTTTTGTTTTTAACTCGGCTGACCTTGACGGTCGGGCCGTGCGCCGGGCCGACCTTGAAATCGCATTGACCCCCTCTGCCGTAGTAGCGTAGTAAAGTCGACCTCGCCGCTCCGCTGAATGAGTCAGCTGGAGGGGGGCGCGCGGCCGGCGGCGGCCGCGACACCGCCAGAGGTGCCGAGCCGAGGGGGAGAGGACTGGCGCCGGCGGACAGGCGGCGTGCATGGGTAACTGCGACGGCTTGGAGGTTGTATTGCTGTGTTGTAGAAGTGGTACGGAGGGAAACAGGGGATGTGTGAGGTGGTGGTGTGATGGCATGAGGTGAGGTGAGGTGGTGTGTGACGGCGCAAGAGTGGTGGAGCCAAGGGACTCATAAAAGGTGTCCGTGATAGAGAGAGTGGAGCGCGGAGCAGGAGATGAAAGCTAAGGCAGGTGCGGATGTCAAGCACCGGGAGCTGACCGGCCAGACAGCGGACCACGCCGCAGAGCAAACCATCAACCCGGAAAAAAACGGGCGCCGTGGCCTACGCAACCTGCTCTGCCGGTCCTCCGGGCGCAAAGCCGGAACAACGCGGCGCACCGAGCAAAAAAAGCTCGGAACGGCTGATTTCGACCGGTGCCAAGGCCTGCAGGTGACTCATAACACCGACCACCTCCGATACGGAGGTCGACGACACCTGACCGGCAGACACCGTGCAGCGCCGCGCCGCGGGGTTGACGACCGACACGTTCGCGGACAGGAAATCGCGGGGCACGACCCTTAGGCCGCTGGGAGCGTTCACATTTGAGTGACAGATGCATGGTGGCGCGTTTTTTTTGCCACCGTGCCCGGCTGCATCTCATTTGCTTCACACTGAAGGTGAGCATCGTTTTACACGGAGCTTAGGGGGATTTGTTGCCGCGCATCCCATTACGTCGTTAACGGTACGGCCCGGCGCATTTCGGCTGGCGACGGGACCGTTGGGCGCGGCCGTGGCTGGAGGCCGCCGCGCGTGAAGCCCGGCGTAAGCGCCGTGGCCGCCGGCGAGACGGAGCGGGCCGGGCAGCGCCGCCCGACAACGGACACCGCGTCGAACCGTTACACCGGACGGGATCAAAGCGACGACGGACGCTGGCGCTGCCGTTAAGCGACGACCACTCGGCGCCGGACGACGCGCGGTAGTGTAACGCGACGCGGCGAAGGAAGTGATGGCAGCTCCCGATCTCACAGGACGGTATGCATCAGGCGCATCTAATGGCCGACGAATGTAGCAGACCCGATGGATGTCTCTGGCACTTGCGCGAGCGACTTTGAGGAAGCGCAATCGCCGTTCCAACCACGCAGACAGGAGAGGCAGGGCTATCGCAGACGCTGACATACGACTTCCTCCGCGGCGTGACATCAAAGACCTCCGAGTGGAATTCCGAGTCTCGGAACTGTCCCAGGCGTCATGAACGCAGAGCCCAGATTCAGGGCACGACATCCTGTTAAGCGGACGCCTGACTTCCTCCACCGCCACCACACATGACACGTACCTCTGTTATACTGGACACGGACCGCGGGGCTCTTCTTCTCCTTGGACTTGGACGGCCGCGCACCCTCTCGGGGGACCGTGGAGCACGCCGGAGAGACTCGCACCTGCACGGCCCCGGCGCGGGGTACCGCGCGAGGCACCGGCGCCGCGTCAGCGCCAGGCTCCGGAGACCGCCGGTCGACGACCAGCGGCGCAGCGTCGGCCGCCGAGCTGGCCGGCTCGAGGTCGGCCATCTCGAGCTGCGCCTCGCCCTGTTTCAGCTGCGCCACCTGCTGGGCGGCCAGCCCGAGCTCGAGCAGCAGCTCGTCCATCTCGTCCTGCGCCACTGGCTGACCCACCGAGTGCATGGCGAGACTTGGTCACGACGCGGGAGACACCGAACCGCCAGCCGCACGCGCTGCCTGCCGCACTGCACTGGCGCGCGCCGCCACCGCCGCCGCCCGCCCCGCCGAGCCGAGCCGCTACGCTGGCCGTGACGTAGGCGGCGCTTCCTCGTTCCGATGGCGGCGGCCGCCGCCGCGCGTTATTCACCTTCTTGAAATCCAAACGGGGTCAACAAACGATTGCATCACGGCGCTGCGCCAATCAGCGCAGCCGGCGGCCGATGCCCGGCGGGCCTGGTCGGGGCAAGGTCTGCAGAGGTGACCGCGGCGCCGCCGGCCGCAAGAAGCCGCCGGCTCCCGGATCCGGCCGGCTAACGGTTCGGCCGGCCCAACGGGACTCGACGCCGCGTCGCCTGCGGGCGCGCCGGGGTGCGACGACAGGTGCGAGGCGGCCGGGGGCGGCCACCCCTCGCCGCCGGAGGCGTCCGGGCCCGGCGGCGGCGGCAGCTGCGCCCGACGTGTTCGAACCACCCGAGGTCGGCGCGCGCGCCGCAGCCGGGGCTACCGATAACTGCGCAGCGCAGGGCCGCCGGGCGGAACGGCGCTGACAAAGAGCATGCGTGACGAGCAGGCGGGCCGGGCTGATGTCGTAGAACACGATGCCGTGGGAATGACTCATAGCGGCGACGTTGTCAGGCCGAACAGATCAATAGTGCGCGTCTGGTTGTGGCCGCACAATGCCGGATACCCCTGGGTACGTTACCGAGTCAACTGAATCTTTAATAACGAACCTGAAGGCCTACTGCGTCACAGTGGGACTTGGACTTGGATGGACTCAGACTCTCTGAACGAGGTTGGAAGAGACATACACACGTCGGACAACCCGGCCTCATAAGCGACGGCATCGCAAGGAAGAGCTCGACTGGATCCCAACCGCATGGCAGCCGGAGCTGCCTTCAGACAGACTTCAGAAGACCAGACCGGCGGCATTGTGCTGTTGCGTGATCAGATGTGCTACGCAGGTCATCGCAGGTCATCCACCGAAGTGCAGCATCCGCACCCGCCGAGTGTCAGGGAATGTATGGTGATCCCGCGTCAGACGGGTTATCACAAATCCCGCCCCAAGCCTAGGAGTAGCCTGCGGCGTGTCTTCGGCCGGCCGGTCCGGGCGGGTGCGGTGGTCTGGGGCTGGCCGGTCCGGGCCAGTGCGATGGTCTGAAGCGCAGGGTGACGTGGCGCGCAGACCGGCTGAACGCCTCTAGAGAACACCCAGCCGGGATTTACAAACCAGACAGCTGGGAGACCACCTGTCTCGGGCGATCCCACCAGTCCGCACAACAACAACTGGGTAGGCTGTCCGCCCAGAGGAGCATTGGCCTGAGGTCAAAGGTCGAGTCGCCTCATACTGCGGAGCTACTGGCGCGAGCTCCGACGGTCCGCGATGAACGGCCTCAGACTACAGCTGGGGAGCACGGCAACGGGACGCCACTCCACGCCACCGCATTTATTACCCTGAACTGAGCAGCGGCCAACTTCCGGCCAACCGCTCAACGTCATCGACGGGGATCAAGATATTCAGTTATCTCAAGACAGAAATGCGGCGATGTAGACTCTCGGGTAGAACCCAAAGTGGACCGAGTCGGGTTCATTTTATGCTTGATGCCCACACCAGTTCCCGGCAGGCAGACGCAGGTTGAGCAGGTCTTGCCCTCCTCTGTTCTGGAACGTGCAGAGGCATATGCCAGTCTTCCTGCTGTCCCATCTTGCTGTTGTCGAACCCCACCATCTTCTAAGATAAGGCGAATATCGAATCGGGTTACACCATTGTCACAACCGTTAGCTGTTGTGTATTTGCCGCATGATGGCAGCCAGTTTCAACTTACCTGCGCTTCATATGATTAACAGGAGCTTAAGCTCCTGGCGCTTCGACACCGTCCTTGCGAACCATAATAATAGAGATGCACACCTTCAACAATCGAACTCACATATCCCAGGAAACTCAACTGGCACCACCGCAGGTCCGTGCCGGCGTCGACTAGGACCACACGCTGCGGGGGCCACCGGGCGCCACAGGGTCAACGGCTGGTCATGAACCCGACGAACAAGAGCTCATTCGTCTGGAGAAGCCTCAGAAACGGCTGGCCAGGTCATGTGACTTTGGAGCTGCCCCCAACGGCGTGCTTGACCAGTGAGAAAGGCAGTGGCGTTATGGAAAACGCACTGGCGTCGCTGGGCGCAAACACAACCAGTTTTACCGCGGACAGGTCATGTACGTGTAAGCATGTGAATATTTGACGCGGTCGTGTCCCGAACGTTCCTGGCGACGACCTGTGAATACGGGCCGGGACACCCCCCTGCCGGCATCCAGAATACATAGTCTTGCCTGTCACCTGGCACCGGGCAGTGGAGGGGCGGGAAGGGGGATCCGGGGCTGCCTCTGTCGGGTCGGCCCCTCTGCCGGGCGTCCTCTCACCACCCGCCCCGACCCAGCGGGGTGGGCACGCAAAAAACACGGAAGGGGAAATGAGACGGCGGCGCGGTCCAGCGCCGAAATGGGAGGGACGCGGGAGACGCCAGGTAAACAGGTGGGACGGAGCGCACGTCCCGCGCCCGGCACACTGGCGAGCGAGCCGGCGAGAAGACGGCCCAGGACACGGCCGGGCAGGACTGGCCAGGACCGGCACGGCGGCAGGACGGGGGCGCGGAGCAGTACCGGGCAGGGGCAGAGCAGTGCCCGGGGACGGGGGTGAGTACAGGGCGGGGGGTGGTCCTGACGACCTCAGCACCGCAGAAGGCATCTCAGCAGGCCGCCGCCCGCTACAGACCAAAGTACAGCGGTGCAAATCACTTAAGTTAAAACACCATCCGATTCCGGACAATTATGTGAAATCGAACACACAGGATAGTCTAGAATAGGATAGAATAAGATGGTCCGGATAGGCTGACTGGCGGATATACGGTCAGTGTGCCGGTTCCGAGGGACAAACATTTCAAGCACACGCAATTATAATTTACCACATCCACAGAATAAGTCATCCACCACCGTGATAGTACTCCCAAACCCGCATGCGAAAGAACCCAGAGAAAAAGGCGCTAATGACCAATAGAAAAGTGAAGGCAAAAGCAAAGGGAAAGGAAAACGTATCAAACTAACTTTTGGGGTGATGAACTTGCTGCAGGGTTTGCGGCATCAAACAATCAACTAGAAAAGAAACAGATAACTAAATAAAAAGACGCTCAATTCAAACAAACGACATGTGCAGAAAAACACGCAGATTAAACAAAAAATCTGAACTCAAACTGACGAAACAACAAAATGCAGTCGCGTAAGAAACACATACAAACGGCATATGAGGGCAATTACGACTGTTTTAACAGTAAACACGAAACGTTGCTCCCTCCGGCACGCAATCTCGACACGCTCCAGGCATCCGATGAGCTAACTTCGGTAATTCAGTTCGTGCTAGCAAACTACGCCCCGTAATATTCAGCGAGGCGCCAAATCACGCACTCAGTTACTCGCCGGCAACAAAATGTCCAATATCAGGTCGTAAGCCCGCGGCGCGGCACCGCATCATGTTGTTTCCATCCGGCGCTGCTCCAGCTGTTGTCGCCTCCGCACGACAGAACGTGACGGCCACACAGCGCTCATCTGGCGCGTCGTGTCGGCGGCTGTGTATGTTTATCTGCCGCTCAGTGGCCGTCGCGCAGCCGGCCTCCGGCCTGACGCGGCGCCGGCCCCGGCCATGAGCACAGCCCTGGTCCGCCGGGCCGGCGGCGGCAGCACTGTCGCAGCCGAGGCCCCAGCAGCGCCGCCGCCGCCGCGTCACGCAGCCGCTCCGGCCCACTACAGTTACCAGGCCATTGATCACAGTCGGCCACGGCCGCGCATTGGCGACAATTACGGCGCGTCTGGCACCGGCGTCCCCTTGGCTGGGCTGGCCGCCGCAGGCGAGACCCGAACGCGCAGCGCCGGGCAGTGAGCGTCCGAGTCCCACTCGCTCGGCGCCGCATGGCGGTGCCACCGAAGACGTGTATGGTGACCGGTTGTCCAGCCACGTCAAAATAAAGCACGGACTGCAGCGTGCCACGCGTTGACAAGGCGCGGCAGCTACGCATCCGGAGGAAGGCCGCTCCTTCTCCCCATCTGCTGTCTCATGTGTGTAATCCGCAGCGGGCAGTGGGTCGCTCCACGGCGCAGCGCCCTCCACGCCGCCCCTCGTGCGCCCCGCGTCCGTGCCCCTCACGGCTGCAGCGAGCGCAATGGTTTGGAGCGCGTGGGCCCCACTCCCGACGCGCCATCTGCATTCCGCGGCGAATAGTGGAGGGCGGACCGTTACTTCTGTACTTTGCCCCCGAGCGCCATGCGTTCCAGCAGGCGGCTGTCCCCTCGCGTCAGTCAACACCCGCTTCCAGGGAACACGGCACATAGTGGGTCAGGACTGCTGCCAGAAATAGAATCACGAAACTGCGCTAAATGTTCGATTGTCAGCAGCGCCGTATCGAAACTAAGGATCCGCCTCCTGGCACGTCCTTCCCCACTCTTACACAGCATTTGGAGGGTCTAAGGCAAAGGCTGAGGTTCGCAAAAATAGTGGCTAGTAACCTTCGGTACAAGCAGGTGTCTCGCCGGGAGTAAATCGCGCTGCCCGCTAATCCACGGCACACGCCGCGTCAAATGACGTCATGGCTCTGCCAGAGGCAGCCGTGTCATTTGTTTCGCAAGTCTTCTGAGGATCCTGCCGAGCAGTTCCACCAGCATCTTTGTCGATTAAAAGCATTAAGAACCAGCTGCAAAACACATCAAAAGACGCAAACAAAAACAAGGAATGCGCTTTTTGCCCATTTTTTCTAACCGGTCGGCGTTTTAGTATGCGCAGCGCCGTGTCTTTAGTGAATGCACACTATGACCCACTTTCACGGCGCGAGGTTGCGTCACAGGCGGCACGTGATTGGATACTGGGCCCAGTCAGCATCCCTTCACTGCGCGGCTCCGAGCCGTTCCCAGTATGCGGGCCGGCCCGATGGGCGGACGGCGGCGCTGCAGTCAGCACGGGTG